CAATCACCAGGGAAGCGAAGTTCATAATAATTTTGAATATGAGGCTGAAAAATTGGTAATTTTACAGTGGTACGGCTGATTGCCCTTTTACATATCCGATCTCATTTTCGATTCTGTTCGACTCGTATTGATGGGCTGTAGATATTTCATGATCCACTAAATTTATCGTGATGCTGCCAGTCATTCTTCCTGAAGTAACCCAAAAGATGTGTCTGACATCTACTAGAGTACTGCCCAGTCAATTGAGCTTAACCTACCATACCAAAAAACAAGGATCGAGCGCAAATACACCAAGTTGTTTATACTAACTCGTGAAAACGATATTGCATATTGGAAATTGGAACACAGCTTCGCTTTTAAAAATTCTAAATAACCAAACTACAATATGTTGAGATACTAGTTAAGTACATCTTCCCCACTACATTCAAAATGCTTATATCTTGTTTGAAAATTCTTACTATTTCTCCATAACTGTTAACTGTATAGCATTGATGCCTAACCAACAGTTCATAAGTTGTAATAGCCAGACGAGTTTGTGAAAGGAACTTGCAGAAATAGTGTTTCTCAACAGGATGCGAGACATAGAACACCAAGTAGAACTCAATAGCTTCTTTTAAACATTTAACATGAGCCTAACAACACAAAAGAAGGGAGGGTGGAGTTACTGACCAGCAAACATTGATGGTATGGGCGATAACTTCAAACAACCCATGTTTGTGGGGCAGAACATTTTGTTTGCTTTCGGCTCTTTAGATTGATGAGACGACTAATCAGTAACACTGAGGTTGCTCTTATACGCTTGCTACTTCTGTGGTTCATGTTTCCAAAACTATGCTGAGGTCGCTATTCTGTCGAGACACTTGCAACATTCTTACTCAGGCGCTTACAGTATGACTTAGAGGTTGGCATTCAATAATAAAGAAAAAAAAACAGTTAGACAGTGCGAGATTTTATTCGTCAAATATTTATTTTTACAAACTCTACTCTTTTAACTAGAATTTCCATTTCAACGTACATAAATCCAGCTTCCTACTTCAACTTCTCTTCTATCCACCTGACACTGCACAACTCTCCCTTCTTTTTGCTGTACTCCTTTATCTGTGCGTTATATTCTTATATTCCCATAATTTACTTTAATTTAAGTGGTCAGTATGAATGTTATCTTGACTTACTACTGTATTGACTACTTTAACATGACAGGTTAAGTAGTGCTTTGGTTATATATATACACTTGCCACACTGCTGCCTTTTCCTCTCTCTCTTCTCCTTTTCAGAACCCCATTCACGGTGGGAAATCCTTGGCAACTCTAGGGAACATGCACCCAATGTACATGACTGTCTGGATCACAGCTCGTATCAAGCGCGTTCCATATGACCTTTCCCAACAAATTCACTATTGATCTCGGCCAATCGCCAATAGAACCTATTGTGCACCTTCCTCATTTGTACTCTAATATTGAAAATGTGGCTGTAAAATACTGTTTCTGTCAGTGATAGGGTGTAAATATGCAATCAGAAACTGTCTCTTATACTTAATTTAACTGCTGGAACTTTTACAGTAATTGTAAAAGCATTTGTGACAATTTGATCTAGCCTGTAAACTGGCGTGACTCTTGTAACTTAGTTATTTGAGAATAAATTATTATTATTATTATTATTATTATTTAACATCTTCAATAATAGTTGTAACGGACTTCGGCGTTGGAAATCTACACTAAGGATATTCAGAGCATCAAACAAATTAAAGTCACTGTCACATGCGGGGAAAAATTCCGAAATAAGCTGCGAGTAAATATTCAGTCCAGCCAAAATCTTAATGAATTCAGAACTTCTCTTCCTTACGGACCGATTCAGAGTTTCGTTTGTTCTTTGCGTAGCTTATCTACGTGAAGCCACATTTAACTCAACATCTGAACTACATCTTACGCCCTACATTTATCAGTTCCAACACTACATGGCTTTTTGTTTCTTCTCGTAATATTCTTCGTTTTCTTTCTTAATAATTTACATTTGCCTCTGTTATCCTATTTTATTTGAATACCCCTACCTTATTACAATGCTAATGTGTAATTCTATTTCGATGGACTACCAAAGGTATATCAACTTAACTATTCGATATGAATGTACTTTCTGGCTATGTATGTGGCAGTGCAGCTTGTAGAAAATATATCTTTGCAATCTTACAAAAAGTTTATATAGCCTAACATCAAAAAAGGAGGATGATCCGAGTCACTGATTTGCAAACATTAATGATAAATGCAATTATTTTAATCCACCTACTTTTATGTGGCGGAAAATTATGTTTATTTCCAGCTCTTGATAAACAGTGACGAGGAAACTTTACAATGGTACTGTAGTTGTCATTCCACTTTCCATCTCTTTTAGACTCATATTTTCAATTCGATCTTTGGTTCTTTATTCCTCCTGGTTATCTTAATACTTACAACTTAAAAAGATGTGAAAATCTGAATTATCCGTAATCAGCCGTTTTGTTGCGTTTGATATGCTGAACGATGATGAATAAATCAGAAGGAAACAGAAAGAAATATCATTATTGTGTGCACGAACTTTAGGACGGTTTTAGGTTGATAATCGACCATAGTCTTTCAAATATAGTCCTGTTCAGATTCAATATTCACCGATGAGGAAGGTCCTTAGAGCATGATTAGTTTACTGGATGTATTGTAGTTTAGGTAGTTAGGCATAATGCTGTATGCTCTGTCAGTCACCCAGACGTCAGACGAAAAGAGTGACTGATATTTGTGTGCAGCTTTTCTATGTTTCGTTCTTTTACATAGGTCCTAACCTTAGCAGACTAAGTCGTTAGGCATGCATCTAGGCTAAGAAGAAAAAGAGACAAAATATATCTCTATCATTTTGCAAATATCAGTACAGTCTGTCCATTTAGACGGTCGTAGTTTCTTTGATCCCATTAAATTCGATCCGTTCAACCATTAATACTTCAATGATGCTAAGGGTTGTTAGGTTGTTGGAGCAACCAGAGCAGAAACGTAATATAAGACCCACTAGTTATTTGATATTTTAGCCTTAGTTATTTAACTCATACGATGATGGCATTGATCTTCTGACTGGTTCTATGATGTCCGTTGGATGATTGTAAACTGTTTCCAATCAGTAAACAGTTAAGCAGCATCCATTCGCTGCCTCAAAAACAATAGTGCCTACTTGAAAATGGTTTTAATTCCGAATACTTAATCAACCAAACCAGTTAATAAACCGTAGTTGATCAGGGATTTCTATTAAATTCTGCCAACAATCTATGTATTCGTATCATAGTATTCTAAAAGTTTTATACCCAACTAAAGCAATAACCATTATAAACTATTTCGTTAATTATGAATGGTGGGTACTTCACAAATGTCAGTTTTTGAAGCATTAAAATGCCTTTAAAGAACCTATAAATTGATAGAAAGCAACCCAGTTCATTTTTGCCAACAAGACACATGCATAATGTGCGGCATACTTGAATAATCTGAATTACGGAAATTTTGCAGACAAATGATCTCGAAATCCATAAAGATTCAACGTGTGTTTGCCGAAACAATAATGTTACTCACTAAACTAATAAAACATTCAAAATTTGTTGTTCAAATGGCTGTTTAAAAACAGGTGTCGTACACTGCAGGCCGATTCACCCTAAAATCCAATGAGAGGTGGCCTCACTCTTCATCATCCTCTTTAGTGTAGTTACCGAGACTGAGGCATCCAAGTACATGTTTAAAAAATAAAGCAAAATTATTCTGACCATTCCTGAGTATCAAGTTAAGACGAAAGTAAGAAAGATGATATCAAAATTAAATTTATTCATCAATGGCAACAAGTACCAATTAGTGGAGTACTACAGACAGCTTGATTGCAACGTTACTTATGGTCGCCCAAAACGTAAATGCTTATACTCTAACTGGTTAATGGTATGATAAAATGTGTCGTTTAAGTTTTCCACTGTGTGAATTTGACCATAGGTGACTTTCTATAAACTACATATATCATTTTTCGGATTACCACTCAGAGATTTTAGGACAAGGTAAGAGTTGTGTGGTGAATCCTGGTCTATTGGTTATGTTTCACGCTGGATAACGGGCGGAAGTAGGCAAGTGAGCGATGACTCCAGACAACAACATTTGAGAATAATAGTTCCCTATGACTTAAAAATATTGTAATTTCAATAAAAATGCATTCAACTATAACTTTGTACCAGCGAAAGGAGACGGATTTTACTAGGTTCAGAATGGGGCTTCCTAGCTTCTTTTTAAGAAACAAGATTGCACATGCCTTGGAGAAAAAAAGAATTTTTCTGCATTCTTTCTCAGAATGTCAAAGATATATAGTGCGAAATATCTGGTATGACTTTGTTCATTAAAACTAGTAAGAACAGAGACCTATATAACTATTTACTTTTTAGGCCAACCTACCGCTACCACTTGAAAAGGATAAGAATGCAACGGAGAAAATCCTTTATGGAAAACAGCAAGCAGTTTTTGAAATTTAGTACAAGCCTTTGAGGGAAAGTTTTAACGGTTTCAGAATCCACCCAGCTCAGGTGCGACTTTCTAATGACCGACAGCACTATAAACATCTCTGATAACTTTCCAGGGTATTTAAGTACACTTCCAAAAAATCTTAGGAACATATTCGGAAACCAAAGTACGATGTGATAAGTCTAAGAGAATGGACTTCCTCTTCCCAAGAGCAATCAAGTTTCGCAGTTCATCAAGAGACTATAGTGTTCTAAACAACTTTTAAGTAGTTTTTCTATAATAAAGTTCAACATTTAGAATAACTGATACAATAATACCATATTTCTATTTAATTCATGAACCCAGGAAAATAAATGGGTATATTATAAACTCGCTATTAAAAGAAACTGAGTTCTGTCTGGTGAAAATGTTTTCTATCACCTTAACAATTATTTGGTTTATTTAATATTTTTTCAAGGTGTCTGACACTACGCGGCCCATTTATTCTCAAGGACATTCGAGATGATTAGATTTATTCTTATACAAAATCGTGCAGGTAAAACTCGCTTGGCTAAATGGTATATGAATCTTGATGACGAAGAAAAGCAAAAATTAATCGAGGAAGTACATGCTTTAGTTACTGTACGAGACGCCAAACATACAAACTTTGTCGAATTTCGAAATTTTAAGATAGTTTATCGTCGTTATGCTGGACTGTATTTTTGTATGTGTATAGACCTTATGGATAATAGTCTCGCATACTTGGAAGCGATTCATAATTTTGTAGAGGTTCTTAATGAACTATTTCACAATGTTTGTGAATTGGACCTCGTTTTTAATTTCTATAAAGTTTATAGTGTTGTTGATGAAATGTTTCTAGCCGGGGAAATCCGCGAGACAAGTCAAACCAAGGTTTTAAAGCAGGTCATTATGTATTCTGCATTGGAATAACGTCAATGATATCTTTTCTTCAAAATAAACTCACTCTGCAGATCACGTGCCGTATTTATATCCTCAGTTAATTTTATGTTTCTGTCCTGCATACTTACACGATTGTGTGCCCAATCTAGGTAATCTATTCTGTAATTATACCCGAACCTCTGATTTCTTTGGTTTGTATTATTTTGAGCGAAAATTACTTAATAATATATCTTTCATGTACGTATTATTTTCATATTCGCATTATAGTATCAGTATGTGTAGATTAGTTCCTATGGGTAGTCTTAATATGCTCATGGTAGTAATTTATCATCTGCGTCACTATTTGGTCTTCATCATCCTCAAAAATATGCCTCGGACCGGAGGTCCAAATCTCATTTTCATTTATGGGATTCTGTTCCGTCCATCCAGACCCCTGTTATAAGAAGTCTTAATTCTTGCTAAAGATACGGGAGTAAAAGCAATTCTGAAGACAAACTTAAACGGTGGTCAAATTCCAATAATATCTGTCAATATAAATAGGTGCAAAATAAAATCTTTTTCTTAAATGTTAAGTATTTTAAGCTAGCAATTATTTTGTAGGCTGAATCAAAATACCATAATATTACTGATCATATGTGCACTGCCTAGCTATTTTTCGTACAACGTAATGCGAGTCATGATCAAATTAATATTAATTTACATTGACGTTCAGATTTCACTGATCAACTCTCTCCATATATGAAGTAGAAATTACTTATTCAGCTTGGCGCAAAACTGTATTCATATGTCCTCAATCCCCTGTTTTATCGGTACGCTGTACAATATGTTCCCATTAGAATCTGGCTCAGAGTGACAGCACTTGCAATAAGAAACATGTCAAATCTGACCCATATGTCTCTAAGAAATTATCTGCATACGTCATTCCGATCGCCTTCAAAACACCATTGAAGTTCATTGGAGACCACTTTGTTGTTACACTTTTGAAAGAACCTTAAAATTCCTTACGATTTTTATGTGCAAAGTACTTCTTAACCTTAGAGCAACAATTACGCGTCTCTAGTCATATTTATGTATAAATATTTGCACTATAGATTTCTTCACCTACCTTTGAGCATTCTCTCAGGTTTTCTTCATTTAAAACAATTTAATTTATTTAATTAGAATGGTATTATTATTTTTCCTTAGTGGATTAAACTCCATTTATTCACGTTGGGATTTTCAACCCCTTGATTGTAGCTGCTACTTTAACGTGATGGTCGGGCTTGTCTATCGTGATAACCCAACCGAACTATACTGGCTGAAACAAATGTTCCTGTAGGTTCAACCATGCCAGGCTTGTCGATTGGAGAACGATGAGACTAAAACCAGTTACTCAAGTTCTGAGGGCGAAGTCGTTCTACTGACTGTAGAGTGTGACAGCAGTAAGATGTTTCCCTCGGACAACCAGCATCTGCAGCGATGCTGCCTTCTCACAAGGAAGAAAGGGTTAGAAAAGGTCGACCCTAAAGTGTCACACATCACTAACTCACGGATTTCCGTCTCTGGTGTTAAAGCCCTTTAAACGAGAACGGAGCTAACATTTCAAAACTTCTCATAAAAACGTTGTCCAGGACTGACCTCGAGCGGTTGTCTCTTGGGCTCTTCGGTCACGCTCCCAGCTTGCTCAGACTAATGCTTATCCGATTTTCTTCTTAGGTTCCTCAAGAAACACCCTTCCACTGTGTGCGCAGCCTGGAAGTGTAATCCGCTCTCGTACCTGTGAAAACACACGAGACCGAATTAGTCACTATCAAATCCTTCCTAAACCTCTTAAGGACCTTCTCACCTTCATGACCAAACATTCTCACGTTCCTCTACCACCTCGCGTCGCTGATACAAATGGTTCGAGTAGATGAAACGTTATACCAGGTCCCCTGAAAATCCACCCTAAACTACATGTTGGAGCTATTAATGTCTGTACATTGTGTCAAATATGACAACAAGTTTCCCCAGCTAGGACTTTAGGATCTCGCACCATCGATGTATGTTGCGTCTCCGAAACGCACACACAGGATCCGAGTACAGTAAATAAATTGATTTCACGTTGTCTTAATGAAGAACCGACTCGGTTTACACTCCGTGTATATGGAAGCCCTGCTGCTGCTTCCTGCGGCCTAGCTGATATAGGTAAATCATTAAATTGTCAAGCAGAAGTAGCTCTCATAGACTGGATTCCAGTAGAAACTCACTTGTGAGCCGTCCAACTAAACGGAACAGTTAGGACTTGGAAAGGTAGGGACACTCTGTTAGTTGTTTGCCGTCTCTGCCTACGCTCCTACTGACTGCGGCCCGGACGAGGTAAAAGATGATCTTTGCAAAAAGTCTTCGAACCTCCTTCAAAATTTTAGGCGCTCAGATGTAGTAATAGCAGCTAGTGAGTTTATTTCTCAAGTAAGAACAATAAGGGAAACGAAAAGACACCTGGGGGATGTTATGGTGTCATAGCCCATCGAACAAATAATGGCGATCATCTGCAGCAGCTATGCTCAGACAACAGCCTATTTGTAGCAATTACTAACACTAAGTATGAGGATGAACACCTTTTTCCATGGCGACACCTAAAATTAATTCCACGCCTGAACCAATTAAACCACATTGCTATCAGCCAGTAAGTGCTCCAACTCTTTACAGAGTTGAGAAAGCTATAGGAAATCTAAAACGACGGAGAGCATCGGTCCTGATCGATCGACCCCTGAGATTTTTAAGGGTGGTGGTCCAGTATTAACAGTTAGATTGACTGAGATCTTAGGTAGAATTTGGAAACTGGACGCAATCCCATCCGATTGGTCTCAATCTCTGATTGTCCCAATCTACAGGAAAGGACAAAAGTCCTCTTGTGACAATCACAGCGGGATAAGTCAGACTGATATGGTTTCTAAGTTGTTAACCTCGATAATAATTTGACGCCTTACTGCAGCTCGTGGAGAGAAGACTAGAGAAAACCAGGATGGTTTCAGACCTGGACGTGGCTGTTTACACATGTTCACACTACCTCAGGTCCTAGAACATAGACTGACGTTCAGACGTCCCACAGTTGTAGTATTTCTCGACCTTAAGGGGGCATTTTGACTCTGTCGATCGTGAGGTTCTGTGGCAGTGTCTGTCATTGAGGTGTACCAAAGAAGTACACTAACCTAATACAGGCTTTCTACTCGAACACTACAGGTCGAGTGAGAACTTATGGTGAACTGTCATCGGAGTTCTCTGCTTCAACTGGTGTCCGTCAGGGATGTCCACTTTCCCTATTTTTGTTCAATTTTGCCATAGACATGCTCCTAGATATAACCTCATCTTTGTCTGAATTTTCAGGAGCAGACCTTCTACCAGGAAAATCGCTTGCTGACTTAGAATATGCCGATAACATAGTCTCCTACTTGGTGAAGACGCTAACAAACTGCAGTCTTCTGATTACCCTGAGCGACAATGCATGTTCGGGATGCGGTTTTTCTCCTCAAAATGCAAAATGTTGCTTCAAGATCGGCTTGCGTCGGCACCTGAACTAGTGATAAGGAGTGGAGTAGTCGAACGTGTTGAACACTTCACTTATCTGGGGAGTCTGATCAGTGCTGATGGCCTGGTGACTGACGAAATCTCAGCACGGATACAGAAGGCTTGATTGGCTTTTGCCAACCTGCGTCACTTATGGCGTAGGCGAGATATCCGTTTGCTGACTAGAGGACGAGTGTACTGTGCAGTAGTCCGCTCCGTCCTACTTTATGGCTGCGAAACATGGCCAATTAGAGTAGATATTCGTAGGTTACTGATTTTCGATCATAGGTGTCTCCGAAGCATTGCTCGTGTATCCTGGTACAACCGAGTAAGCAACGCTGTTATTAGGAAATGGGTGCTAGGTAAGAATGGCAGATCAATAGATGAAATATTAAAACTTCAGTTGAGGTGGTTGAGACATGTGTTGCGTATGTCTAACCACCGGCTGCCCCGTTAGTTGGAGAGAAGCTGGGGGCGGTCAAGTCAAAACACTGTGCAAATCCACAACGTCACTGACTGAGTTATGTCTATAAGTGTAGACTACCTGGTCGTGGTCCGCAAAACGATAGTAACAGATGGTTAGAGACCTTTATTGACATTGCTCAAAACCGTTTGCAATGGCGCAGGTCCACTCATTCATTCTGTGTTCTCTCAACTGATCTTCTGAATTCCTCTTAACCTCCATCTTTCTCCTTCACTGAATTACACTTGAATGATTTCTTCAAACCCTAATCTTCTCCGTTACCGCTAATAATTCTACTAACTGTACCACTATTAAATTTGAACTGACAGTTGCGTCTCTGTGCTATTGTGGTTTAGCAGCTTGAACTGATGTACGTACGTACGAAGTTCTATGTTGTAACTGACTGATTTTTAAACCAAAGTATTCTAAGCATCAATTCCAAATTAAATATGATGCTCTCTGTGCATCGGAAATACAATCAGATAGATTTAAACTTGTAGTCTAATAGGGGTTACCAAATAGTATACTGTTCACGAGCTAATTTTTCTCTTAAATGTTAGTAGATTTGTACCGACCACTCAGTAGAGTCCTCGAAAAGTAATGATGCTAATCCATTGGTAATTAATTCCTAGCTCATTTATCATGAAACATGCTTTTAAGTTATTTTTTAACAATAGTTTTCTCTGCAACAGTGTAATTGAGAGCTGAAAATTCTTTATTCGTCTCTATCTCTCCTTAACAACTGATAAAATTATCCAATGTTGTGAATTGTATTTCTTCACTTAATTTAGACAAATTAAGTGTTTGAGGGTTATCCTAAAAACCTGCTTCTACTGCATATATATAATAAATATATATCACAATGGATTTACTTTCATAAAATAGGTTTACGAAAAGAATTATGAGTCGGAAATTAAATCGTGATACATCCCAAATAAATTTAAATTAACAAAAACGATCACTTAGCCCTACAGATGTTCGCTGAAGAACCTGAAACCAGCATTTGCCGAATGAACAATTGAGCTGTAGTAAAATGATCTTGATACTATTATTCATTAACCTTACATGCAATGATAGCAGTGTTTTATCTGCCTTGCTGTCTTAAGTGACGTTACTCTGTTGTGCTATAAGCTCCGGTTTAAAGGAATTTGGTCGTTTGGGCTTTTCAGCCTAAGTACTTCACACATTTTAAAGAAGAATACCGACCCCACTAGATCCCATCTATTAGTTGCTTTTATTATCTTCATGAGCGGCTCAGTATGAACACAGAAGGAATAAATAGTATCAGCTTACTCTCTTAACACCAATTAAAACTTAATTCGGGGAATAGAAAAGGTGTTTTGTACGTCTGGTGAATAGAACCAAGATAGATGGGACGGGGCCTGAACTTGCTACTGAACGATCGGAAGTTGAGTACTTCGACCGATGAGCTGTCATTTCACTGCCCCAGAATAAATGCAGACAGTTTTATAGGCATGAAAGTGCAATTCACCATTACCTAACTACAAGAAATGGTGATCCCCAAAGGAAACTACTGAGTAATATGATATGACTGAATAATTTGACAACGCTTGCACAGATGCCCCCATTATTAGCGATATGAAAAACGAGATTAATTTGACAACAATATAAATGCATTTTTTGTAGATAACACTGATGATTATAATGCCTAAGTGGTATCTTATGAAAGAAATGTACGACCCGGACCAGCGGGACAATTAAAATGAAATAATTTGACAAGTTAAAGAGCAAAAATATACAATATTGTGAACACAGTGGTAATTCAGAGGAAAAAGTCATAAATGAAAATAAATGAACAGAAAATATTTTCCTAGATTTGATTTATAAGGTTAGAAAGTATCACATTGAAATAACAGGTGTACAGATAAATATAATTTTTGTTATGAATGAAATCAGCAAAAATATATTAGTATATAAAAGTTCGTACAACCCTACCACTGATGTATCACATATTTAGGCAAACACAACCAAAGATAGCTCGAGGGACCGTTGTATTCAAAACTTTAATACGAGACCTGTAGTAAGTAAATAAACAAAAATTACTGGTCAGTAAATCAACCACACGAAATATAACATCATGTTAAGTAACCAAAACATACCATGTGTTTGTTGTCGGGTCGTAGCAATGGACATCATCTCGTGGGACAGTAGGGCGTCGATCATCACCAACAAACTCACTAAATCCTCCAACTACATACAAAAGCTCTCCAACCCAAGATAACCCAGCATGAATCCGTGCTTCAATTGGAGATGAAATAGAGGTAGGAACTAAGGGAGCTAGCGAGCGCAATGTGTGACGACGTAGATCTAAAACCGATAATTCGCTTGTCGATTCCCAAAATATGTAAAGCAGGTTAGTATCCTAAGAAAAAATCAGACAGTTTACATAAGAAGAGTAACAACTAAACATCACTAATAAAGACTATACTACAGCAAATGAACAATTTTTGTAAAAAGGAGGATGGAAGAAGAATGCGCGACTCTTATAGAATTTACTTCTATTCAATAACTGGATAGACAGTTCAATACGTAACTCAATTGCCAAGAACAGATTTATGTACTCGGGTCTGAGGGATACTCTAAGTCCAAGATATAGCCATAGAACACCGTCCAGACCAAAGTCAATGGAAAGGGATATAAACCTGCTACCTAACAATTAGAAACTAAGTGCTTCGAATACTGCATAAATATATAGTGTGTAAAGGAGCATATATTCAGGGATCAGAGTTATGAATTATTTTAAACAGATTTCAAACACATCCAATGATGATTGTGAACATCTAATTGTTCACTTTGACTGAATATAAACCAGTCAGAAGACAAATAACAAAGTGATTAGACAAGAGAAACACATTGGTCTTAGTTACAGCGATCTTTTGTATCGTTTCGTCAAACACATCCTGTTTTCGAAATCGGTTGAATTTACTAGAGTATGCGGTTTATTCAGCTAATAGATCAATTCAGAGGACTAGAACAACAAATAACTACTCTTTTAGTCACAATAAAGTATTAATGTAACTGTAACAAATAAGAAGCCAGCTCGCTTTACAACTAAAGTAAGGAGAGTAGAGTAGTACGTTCTGCTGAATTTTGATAGAATTAATAAAAACTAGAAAGTGTTGTTCGAATATGAATAGATATTTAATTAAAACTAAATTTATACAGCTAAACAAAAGAAGCATCGAAGACTATTGTTGAAGACAAGAAAATTTCCAAACTAAAAAACTGACATATCTAACTTTAAGCTGTTAAATTTTTAATTAACATAGAGGGTGTTAATAAGACAAGGAAAGTAAGTAAAGTTACTGATTATAGATGGTTGAGGAGGAGGCTATGAACTTAAGAATTTCGTGCTAGTTTCCGCTAGTCAACAAGACATGCCTGTAATATCCCCGCATGATTCGAGAATTCATTCAGTTTCATGTTCACAGACTTTACCACCATAAAACCCCTGTAACCCTAATGACTAAGTAACACACTATGGGCAAAAGTTAAAAAGGCGAAATAAAAACAACGTATCTAAAAAGAGTTGCCTCTCATTTTCCATAAGGAAATCGTTGCATTTTTGTCACTAAGTTATAGAAAGTCAAGGTTTCGGGCATTAGTTTTTACCCTCTCGTAGACTTCAATCTATAAGAATGCAACCTCTTTCAATGCCTCAGATTAGGGAAAAAAATTAAGATTAAATATAGGGATGTAGACATCATAATAGAAACAACGTACTTGAATAATTCCGACGAACAAAATGAAGATATTTAGGAAACCAGGAAAATGGCATGACATGATAACGCCTCAATAAATATTGAAACTATTTATTTACAGATTACTGATATACAGAACAAGAAATTCAACAACCAACTTACTTGATGTACACAACAATTCACATAACGAACTTGTTGTGGGAGTTTTATGTAATCCGCGGTGCAAAATACAGTATAATCAGGACGTAAACGATAAAAGGCAACCTGATCTGTGCCATACGGTTGTGATTCAGTTATTCCACCGATTTCAACAAAAACACGTTCAAAATTTACATTCATAGAATTATTTCTTCGACGGGTTTTATTGGTTTGATTAGTTCCATTACTACTCTTGTTGATAATATTTTCCGAAACTGATGTGGTATCTAACATTATGAGAAACAGGAATAGCTATTAAGTAGACAGTTTGAAGAAAGCTAACTATCAATAAATTATGGATAAATATATTCCTAAACCTAAACACGATATTTTTTAATAGATCAGAGGATGACACTAGGCGCAAAATTCACATTCTGAAATGCCCGGATTCAATAATACAAGACTCAGAACAAACACTTTAGGATATACATGTTGACAAGATTCTAAAGTATCCAATGATGAATGAAATTTGCATTCAATTTGAATTTGATTTTAGTTCAAGTACTTTCCAATTGATCAAAACTTACGTATATACACATCTTAGTGATTAATAGAAGTGTAAGATGATAACAGAAGAAAACTATTACCAATCTGACCGATGAAAGTTTTTAATTGATAGCAAACAAATAAAGCGATCACAAACATCAACAAGCAACACGTTGAGTAAATTAAGGCCTAGTATGAAACACACTTATAATTACTGAACATTCATACACATATAGAGTAATAAATCTTTCATGCATGAGACTACAATTATTAAGAGCATTGTTCTGTGCGGGTCGACTTTACTACCAGTCAGTCAGCTACATCATGGAACTTTGTAAACAAGTACATCAGTTCAAGTTGCCTTACCACATTAGCACAGAGACTTCACTTCAAATCCCATAGTAATAGAGGTAGTAGTAGTATTAGTGGTAATCAGAAAGATTGGGATCGAAGATATGGTTCCAGAAGTATATCCAAGTGAAATAAATTTAAAAGGAGAAAAAACTGTGTCGAAGAACTCAGAAGACTATAAATTTCAGAGAAAACCAAGAATGGATGCACTTGTGCCATCTCAGCAATGTCATTCAGGGTCGCTAACCATCGATTACTATCATCTCGCTAACTCCAACCTGGTAATCTAAACGTACCAACATGGCTCAGTTCACTTATTAGTGACATCATGGATTTCTGACATGTTCCGATTTGGCCACCCCTAGCCTTCTTCCGACCTGCTCCGACACCACAAAACATTGCTCGTCGAGGCAATCGGTGGTTGGGCATTCGTCACACATGTCCCAACCACCTAAACTGATGAAGTTTCACTGCTTCATTTTTTGACCTGCCATCCCTACCTAGTGCCCGTTTCCTAACGACAGCACTGTTTACTCAGCTGTTCCAGGATATATGAGAAATGGTTCGAAGACATCTATAATCGAATACTTATAACCTACGAATATCTTCTACTCTCAACGAACATGTTGAATAACAATAAAGTAGGACAGAGCGAACTGCTGCGCAGCAGACTCGACATTTGGTTAGCAAACGGATATCTCGCCTACGTCATAGGTGACGCAAGTTGGCTAAAGCCAATCGAGCCTTCTGTATCCGTACTGAGATTTCGTCAGTCACCAGGCCATCAGCACTGATGACCTGCACAAAATAAGTGAAGCGGTCAGAAGACTCTGCATTTTGTCAGCGTCTTCACCGAATGTCATCAGCATATTCTAAGTCTGCAAGCCTGTCTCCTGGTAGAACAACCCCTGAAGATTCAGACGATGATAATGTTAACTCTAGAAATATGTACGACAAAGGTAAACAAGAACGGGGAGAGTGGACATCCCTGACAGACCCCACGTGATGTGACTAATTCCGATGATAGTTCGCCATAGGCTCTCACTAGACCAGTAATGTTCGAGTAGAGAGCTTGCATTAGATTAATGTGATTTTCTTCTACTCCTTCCAGTGACACAGAGTCAAATGCCGCCCTAATGTCGAGAAATACTACTATTGTGGGGAATATGAACGTGTATCGGTTGTAGAACCTGATGAAGAGTAAATATGTGGTCAATATAGCCACGTTCAGGTTTGAAAACAGCCTGGTTTTCTCTAGTCTGCTCTTCACGAGCTTTCGTTAAACGTCGGAGTATTATTGATGCCAATATTTTAGAAAATACATAAGTTAGGCTGATTCCCCTGTGACTATCACAAGAGGACTTTTGTCCTTTCTTATAAATTGGGACAATCAGTGACTGAGACCATTCAGATGGTATTACGCCCAGTTACCAGATTCTACCTATGAGTTCAGTCAATCTAACTGTTAAAACTGGACCACCATCATTAAAAATATCAGGGTCAATCTATCAGGACCCGCTGTCCTCCCTCGCTTCAGATTTTCTATAGCATTCTCAACTTCATTTAGGGTCGGACGACTTACGTTGATTTGACATCCAAGTTGGTTGGAGACCGTGGGCAACCGAAGTGTGGTTGAAGGGCAGTTGAACTGATTGATTCCTGAAGTGTTCTGCCCATCGGTTTAATCTACCGTATTGAGAATGGATAATAGTCCCATCCTTATCCGAGATAGTCTCACTCATATTCGGATTCATAATACTGGTTTCTTTGATCAGTCGGAAAAGTTGTCTACTGTTGCCAATTGCCGCTGCCTTTTGCATCTCTCTCGCTTTCGCTACCAACTGTTCGCGATCATTAAGTAGGCTTTTTATCAGCCTGAGCCGAAGCTGACTTCGTTCTTTATCATGTTCAGAGCCAGGTGTGATGAGTTTTCGAGTATGCATCAGTTCCGTAGATGCTACTGAAATCCACGGCTTCTTCCTAGACTTATGGTTTACTTTACTAACAGATATCACTGCCGTTTACACAGCCTTTTTGATATCATTCCAACTTGCCTCCGGATGCGAATCGCTTACATGGTCGCCTAACTGTTTTCCCAGTTTTTCCTGAAATATATTCTTAGCTATGTTATCATTAGGTAGAACCCTAAGAGGTTTCCTCGCGGCGTCTTTCCTACGTCCAGTAAGCCTTAAACAAATACGCGCTCACACTAGGGCATGATCTGAATCTAGACATGTTCCCCAGAACGAGCGACAGTCCTCTCTCGAACCCCTATAACGGTGGCTGATAGCGATGTGATCTAGTTAGTTTCATCGTTGTGACAACTTTGGGTGTCGCCATGTGAAGAAATGTTTTTCCTTATGCTTAAAGCTACTGTTTGCTAAAAATAGGTGGTTATCTGAGCACAGATGCAACAGACGGTCGCCATTATCAGTTATTTGAGCCGCCACACCATAAGATCCGCTTAGTCTACCTACTTGAGCATTGAAGTCACCAGCCATTATTACTATATCACAGCGCCTAACATTTTGGGGGAGGTCCGAAAGCTTTTTGTTATATTCATCTTTTACCTCGTCTGAGCATCTGTCAGTGGGAGCGTAGGCAGATACGACGAAGAGGCAACAGCGAGCTTCCCCTTCTTTACGAGTCCTGACTGACTTGTTTAGTCGGATAGCGCATAAGCGACTGTCCACTGGGATCCGGTCTAAGAGAGCTTGTTCTGACCTACAACTTCATACTATATCTACACCAGTGAGGTCACAGGCAGCAGCATCAGGGCTTCCAGATACACGAAGAGTAAATCGAGTTGCTTCCTTATCTTGACTTCGTTAGGTCAAGCGAATGTCGCTTCTCGGATCCTGTATGCGCGCTTCTGAGACACAGCATACATCGATGGCGCGAGATTCTAAAGTCCTAGCTAAGGAATCCTGTTGTCCTATTTTAACACAATGTCTGTACATCAAAAGCTCCAACACGCAGTTTAGGACGAGGTTTCAGGAGACCATGAATAGCATTTCGCAAACTCGAATCGTTTGCATCAGCGGTGTAGGGTGAGAAGGGTTGGTCGTGGAGATTATGGAGATGTTAGGGGTTGTAGGAAGGATTTATTTGTGACCGATTCGGTTGTTGTTAAATCCACCCTTGTTTAAAAGGCCTTAACATCAGAGACGGAAATCCTTGAGGTAATATGATGTGTGACATATTAGGGTCGACTTTTTCTAACTCCTTTCTTCCTTGTGAGAAGGCAGCATCGCTGCAGATGCTGGTTGTCCGAGAGAAACATCTTACTACTGTCACACTCCTCTACAGTCAGCAGAACGACTTCGCCCTCAGAACTTTAGTAGCTGCTTTTAGTCTCGTCGTTCTCCAATCGACGTACCTGGCATGGCAGAACCTGCAGAAACATATGTTCCAGCAAATATAGCTCGGTTAGGTCATGACGATAGGTAAGCTCGAACTCGTCAAGGTAGTAGTATTAGAGAAAATGTTATTCGCCACTATAAAAATATAAATTATAACAATAAAATTAATTTGAACAAGGAAACCTATGTATCAACCTAGTAACATGACACTATATGTAAAATAGTAATATCGTGATAGTAATGCACTGGAAACATGACAACAAGTCTACCTGATAAATCCGAGCGTAACGAGTTTTGTTCACTATCTGTCTCATGAGGTCCATCAAACGATTGTAGATTGAAACTTGAGTTCTCATTCGATTCATTAATCAAGACAACATGTGACTCTAATCTTGGATTATCCGTTTCGCCCACATTGAGCCATGTGTCGCTACAGATATCATATCGAATAATCGATTTTTCGAAATTCAATGTAGGGATATCTGATTCAGTTACTGGAAGATTTGGATTGAATGATGATAACTGTGAAGAAACAGGATTTCGTCTAGTTGAAGAGTTGGTTTCTTGTAAATGATCCACAATTATACGATCTGATGAGTGCTGTCGGTGATTAGAATTTATCGACAATGTTACACCACCGAATATAAATATATACCGACTACCAACAGAAACAGAAGAATGTCGAGCTCTTGCCTGAGGCATACATTTGCGTTGACTCCATGCAGATCGAACAGGTGAATACGCATATACTGAATCCATGAGCGTACCAGCCTACGGGAAGAAATAAACCAATATAATAAGCGATAAGTTACATCTAATATATGACGACTAATAATGACCACTAAATCATTGGTAAGAAGAACGGGTTTAAACCTGTAAAAGTCGTGTCTAAAGTACCAAATCAAAGTTGCAGGAAAAAAGTGATTAACACAGACTTTAACCTCATATATCGATGAGCGAGAAACTGAAAGATAATAACCATTGGACTACACTACGAAAGATGAGAGTTAGATTTATAAACTTCTACTTGATAAAGAACAAAATGACCATACAAATTAGTCACTCTATGATAATTGATACATCATTATTGCCCTCAAATTGAGTTTCACTAAAGAATAAGGCTTAAATGTTGCAGGAAAACAGTGAGAATGCTTTCGAGACTACAGATAAAAATCCACTTAAAACTCCAATCCAAAATACCCTACTAGTGAATGCTGACAATCATCAGTAAGAATTAGACGGTACAAAAACATTGAACCGTTCTAAATAATATCCTAGTCCCGTAATTGTTTGCAAAAATGCAAAAAGAAAACTCACTTTGATTCCACCAATAACAAATAGAGTATTTGCAATGACAGAAACAGAAAACCACGCTAAACTATCAACAGGCATAGAAGGACAAGTTTGCCATACTGTTCTAGATGGTGAAAATGACTGCATACAATTCAAAATGCATGTATTGAGACCGCCTAAAACAACTAGTGTAGGATGTTTCAGTGTGGCTGGGCGAGGTGGTAAATTGTTGATATACATTGATGCATTATCATCACTGTTGTAGGTATTGTAAAGAAAACATCTGATGATATTCTGAGCAATTTTGGATTCCTAAAATAAATTGATGTAAAAATTCGATTACTTTTTTTTGTAAATCTACAATCATTTTACTTTATGAGTCAAAACTATGCTAACAAATTTCTGACATGAGTAGCAACACAAAATATTCAAACAAAAATGTCTATAATAAAAATTTTAAATTTGTAGAATATCATCATATCTAGTGAAATCCGAATACACTTAAATCCATTTAAAGGCAGACACGTAGTGCATTGATTCAGATGATCCAACAACACCTTGATAGTTTATGACAAAACTAGTCAAGCTGTGATTGTATTTAACACTTCAAACTAATCATTTATTAGACTTGTTGAATAACTGGTGGATCGAATTGGGAAATTTCTAATGCTTCACTTTGAAAATCACCTTTCCTTTTCCAAGAAAATCTATTTGTAATTAAAAGTCATGTTAGTTTAATTGGTAAACGATGTATGCCAACATCCAGATTTGGAATATCTTGACATTCTGCATATTATGCAGAGTTAGTGTACTTGTGCTCATGTAGCCCTTTTAAATAAAAACTTTTGTCCCTCCCGGGATTATATGCTTAAATTTGTAACCGACTCGAAATACTCAGAAAAAATACGTTTCAATTTTTAGCAAAATAGAAGTATTTAACACATGTCACAGTATGTAAAAAGTTTAGGGTACTATATTTCAAAATGTACTGAGTTTTATTAGGTTGTTTAAAACCTGTAACATATTCACACTAAGATATAAATTTATACAAAACTTGTACACTACCAAAATGAATCGG